GTGGAAACACAAATAAAAGGAGGACAGTGAGCCTTAGTTCTTCAAGAACCACCTCTCCTTTGGAGACCCCACATCTGCCAAGTAGCACAAAGTTATCTCTCCTAGATGTTAATATATAACACACAGTTAATATACAACACAATGAATATTTTCAACTCCTTCAACACCATCCGCCATTCTCTCAGTAATTTATTCAACAACCATCTATTGAAGATGTTTGTAATGCACTGTACTAGGTACCAGGATGTCAAAGTTAAGTAAAACACCTTGCCCTTGAGAAGGTTTCAGAAAGGTAGAGGTATAAACAAGTAAACAGGCAAATTACCAATGCAGTAAATGCACCATGAAGGTGAGTGTGAACCCCCCACCCCCAACACACACACATTTTTTCACTCATATAAACACACAAAACCCCCGCTACCCCATGAATGTAAACTTCCCAAAATGCCTCTTTGAAAGTTTTGAAGCAGACACTTGGAAAAAGATTAATGCTAAAACTCTCTAATTTTGTAATTTCAGTAGAGTCCATTGAGCTATACATTTGTGTGTGTGTCTGTGTGTGTGTATTTGTGTATAAATATTCGTTTTCATGTGGATCTTTATATAGCATTTTATTTAAGGATAAAATATTTTGAGCAACTGATGCTTTAGATAGATTAATCTAACGCCCATAAAATTAGTTACTAATTCTAAAACCAGGTTTTAGTTTGCAATGTCTTAAAACTAACATTCACTGATGTATCCCAGTGATACACAAAAAGTCTGGATTGCTTGTTTGAGAAGACAAGGACCAAGAGTCAATATGATTTAGATTCATAAAATCATGATACATATTCCAAGAGCAGACATAGCCTTGTTTTCCAAATCCTACTTACTCAAAGGATTCCTTTAATCAGTGAATGATAGGAATTTGGGTCTGTGATAGGAGTTTGGGTCTGTCTTTCCTTGTACTTTCAGTATGTAGAACAGGGCAGGCTTTGGCATCAGACTGCCTAGATTTTAATTTAGGCTCTTCCATTTGCAAGCTGTGAGATTTCTCCAAGTCTCAATTTTCTTATCTGTAAGATGGGCATAGTAATAGTAACTTTTAGAATAGCAACCTTTCTTTAAGAATGTAAAATTGTTAGTGTATTCATTCATTTCGTTTAGCTATCTATTCAACATGTAGTTATTGAAAGTTTCATGTGTGCAAGGTATTGGGCCCATTGGGGAATGCAAAGATAATTCAATCACTGCAAATAGAGATCAAGATGGACTTGGAGTTTCAGACTGTGGTCCTGGAATCCTGCATGTTTTTCTAATTGAGTAAGCTTAATAGACATAGATACATGGAATACAGTAAATAATGATTATGTAATCAGAGTTTACTGGTCTTTCGGAAACATAGAAATGGTAGGTCCTTGGTAATCCAGTCACAACATTTCCTTTTCCCCAAGCTTCATCGTTTTTGTGTTTTGTTTTGTTTTGTTTTGGTTTGGTTTTGAAACAGAGTCCCATTCTGTTGCCCAGGCTGGAGTGTAATGGCGGGATCTCAGCTCACTGCAACCTCCACCTCTCCCATTCAAGTGATTCTCCTGCCTCAGCCTCTGAGTAGCTGGAATTACAGGTGCCCACCAGCACATCTGGCTAATTTTTGTATTTTTAGTAGAGTCAGTGTTTCACCGTATTGGCCAGGCTGGTCTCGAACTCCTGATCTCAGGCGATCTGCCCACCTTGGCCTCCCAGGGTGCTGGGATTACAGGCATGAGCCACCATGCCTGGCCAGCTTATTGTTTTCAAGCCATTTTAGCAAATCTTTGAATTTTCTTCCACTTATTCACAAAAAGAAAAATATTCTCCATAGATTTCCAATTTCCAATGATTGCTGAGAGCCATATGAAGTATTTTTAAAATGTACTCTTGCATTTATTTAATATATGCAAGTATATAGAGTAGGGAGCAAAGATGGAGGTTAATGATGAGGATATGCAATTGAGAAAAAGACCAATATAATCCATGCTTTCCTGAAGCTTATATCCCAGGGAAACTCACTTCAAGGAATGAATCTATGTTCTCCTCTTGGGCTGAGAATAAAAACATCAACCGTCTATACCTGTTTCTTAGCTATTCCATGAAAGGCTTTATTTGCAGCAACAAGAGCCAGGAATTTCGAGAGGAAACAAATCTTGAAAGGAGGCCTTGAGTGAGCAATGCTAGGAAAGAAAGGGGGAGAGGATGTCAGCAGCAGAAAAGCTGTGGGACTAAAATAAGATTAGTCAAACTGAAAATAAATAAATAAATAAATAAATACACCAACTGGAGAATCTTGTAAAATATTCCACACAATTTTTCAATTTGGTGTTAAAGGTTAAGTGAATTTTTCACTGAAACATTGATTCTAACCAGTCCAGTTCAATCAAATGTTACCTTTCTATCTGTATTAGTCCATTTTCACACTACTGATAAAGACATACCCAAGACTGGGCAATTTACAAAAGAAAGAGGTTTAATGGACTCACAGTTCCAAGTGGGTAGGGAGGCCTCACAATCATGGCAGAAAGTGAAAGGCGTGGCAGCAGACAAGAGAAGAGAGCTTGTGTAGGGAAATTTCCCTTTATGAAACCATCAGATCTCTTGAGACTTATTCACTATCATGAGAACAGCAAGGGAAATACCTGCCCCCATGATTCAATTGTCTCCTACCAGGTCGCTACCACAACACATAGGAATTATGGGAGCTACAATTCAAGATGAAATTTGGGTGGATACACAGCCAAACCATATCACCATATCTATTCCTTTTGCACCATTTTGTCATGCTATCAAATGGGTTTCTGAACTGCCAATTAGTTTTTGTCTATATATATATATATATTTAGAAATGTACTATATATATATTTCTAAATTTCTTTGGAGTTGATTTGGAGATACCTTTAAAGCCCTGATATCTAATTTACCATTTAGGTAGACAAATGGCAGAACATACCTTTCTCTGTGTTTTTCTCCTGCTAAAAAGCAACTTTATAGAAGACCTTGAAGGAGATAATTCCTAGAGTCTAACACAACAACAAACAGTCAGAATCTAAACTGGTTTGAAGGCAAAAGAAGCTACCTTTTTAAAAATGCAAATGTCAACCTCCCCACTCCTTTTTTATTTAATATAATGATTAAGGCTTGGCCTACAAAGCCACTTATCCACATCCACTCTGTAAGAACCAGAAGCTCTTTGAACACATAGGCAGCTCCTGATCTCAGGTCTTCAGATGCCAAGAGTCAACTGAGGTAGCAATGTCATGTTCCAGTAGCTTGTGATCACATGGCAACATCAAAGCTGAGGTAGGAACACCACTCCTCGATGAGTTAAGTGTTTAGAGATGGTTGCCATCTGTTCTAGCTATTTGTTCCTAAATAGGTAAATGTAAAAATAACCAGGCATTCCTACAGCAATTCTCTTACAAAAAAAAAAGTTCATTAGCACATTTTCTGCCAGCATTTTTAAACAGCAATCTAGGTAATTCTGACACAGATGGTCTAAGGGCTACACTCTGAGATGCACTGGTGTGTAGACAAACCCTCTCTCACTCAATCAACAGACTGATCAAGCAGTGATTCCCAGGAATTGAGTCTGGTGCCAGGATGACTACTTAAGAATATAGAATGTTAGAAGCTACCCTAGATTTATTGGAGCCCAGAAATCTGCTTATGAATCTGTATACTTAAAAGTTCTCCAGGAGATTGTAATAACACAGTCTGTGGTATTAGAGAGAAGGGGTTGGGTTTTAGCTTACTAAATCTATGAGTGGGTCCTTATTCCACAATTTACCAGTGTCTAACCTTATGTAATATCTTTGGTCTGTGAAACAGCTATTGTGAGGATTAAATAAAGCAATACATGTTGAGAGTCTAGCATGTAGTAACCTGCTTGCCATTGTATGCCTAGCTCTCAGTAAGATATACAGAAGTAAAAATGTATGCTTCATGACTTTGGGAAACATATAATCTATTTATAAAACAACATAAATATTAATAAAAATGTGAAATATGAGTTTATATTCTAAAGCTGTAACATGGTTGTACACACACACCAAAAAGCACACAAGACCCAATATTCAGAATAATACAATAGAGAAGTATAATGACATAGGAACAATCATGTAAAATTTTCTTTAAAATGTTTAATTCTTCTTTAGGTAACCTAATTCTCATTAAATCACCGAATTTTTATTTAGATTATAGAAAAATATTAACATCATGAGTGGCAATCAACTTGTATTTATTATTTGATTATTTAAAATGAGGGGTAGAAAAATAGCACTGTATACCTGGGAAGGGGTTTCATAGGATATGCCTAAAGGGGCCCAAGACAACCCTGAAATTTTATACAGAAGCGTTGTTTATATGAACATGGATATTTCTGGGGAGAGATCTATAGCTTTCATTTTTCCAAAGGGTTTTGTGGCCCCCCCCAAAATGTTAAGGACAACTGAAGATTACCATTTAGTACATTTTATGTGCATCCTTATTTATGCCAAAGAAATATAACTCCTGATTGCATGCCCAATAATTTACTTGTTTGCTTTCTCTGACCTGTCCTCTGAGTCAGTTTTCCACAAGCTTTAACCAGTCAAATATCCCAAAAAAAGAAGAAAGAGTAAGATTCAATTTAAGAAAACTCTAAGCAGAGTTTCGTGACTACCTCAGCCTATTCCTATTCTGCAGACATCAGCATGGAAATTTATGTACATGTTTTTAAAGTTCCAGGGCAGAGATTAACTCATGATCATTTTTGAGTTTTTCCTTTTCATTTTTTATCCATTGCTCAGTTGTTTGAATTATTTTCTATTAGTTCTGTGTTTCTTTTCTTCTCAGGTAGGAAAGTGAAGGAACTTCCCTGGAAGGATACAATTCAATTTTGCCAACTTGCATTTTGTCAACTTAGCAATTCTTTCATTTGTATTTTATTTATAATGCGGTAACAACACTATTGATATTACATGTTTTTATTTCTCTGGTTTTTTTAGGTGTGTGTGTAATATTGACTGTTCTCAAACCAACTTCAATCCCCTCTGTGCTTCTGATGGGAAATCTTATGATAATGCATGTCAAATCAAAGAAGCATCGTGTCAGAAACAGGAGAAAATTGAAGTCATGTCTTTGGGTCGATGTCAAGGTAATGTTCATACCAAAATTCATTTCGAAGAATGTTTTTAGTCTTTGTGCAAAAATGAAAAGTGAAGAAAACTCCTTATTAGGCAGCTATTCCATTTTCAAAATGCAGTTCTTATTTACAATGGATCGTAGAGTCTACTGTAGCATTTTTGTCAATTATAGGATTTTGAGGGGCTCTCAGCAACCGTCCAGATCTGTCTCTATACAATGGAACTGTATTGTCACAACGCCATAAATACAGAAGCTAATATTCACAAGATAGCAGACAATTTTCTTGCAAAGGGAAAAAAGAAAGTCAAAGACATTTTTAAAACGAATCTAAGAATTTATTAGGCATCCTTGAAACTAAAAGCAAATCACTTCATTTTTATGTATTGATTCAGTACAAATATTTAAAATGCATTTTTAAAAGCAAGAGGTACTAGAATGTTCTATTTTCTTTCTTGTTCAGAAACAAGCATTTTCTTAGTTTTTGATTTGCTACTCCTTTGCCCAATTTTTCTCAGTTATAATTATGAATCTTCTTCTTTTCTCAAACTTTAGAAAGCTCTCTTCATTTTACTATTTGCTCTCAAACAGAAATTGACATTGTAAATCTGTCTTAGTATACAGGTTGCTTAGAACTCCAGTTATAAAAATTCCTTAATTGCAATGAAGATATTGTTGGAGGAAATATGTAAGTTTCATATTAGATATTTAGGAAACAGTTAATCAATGTGTATTGTTAATTTTTTAACACAGATAACACAACTACAACTACTAAGTCTGAAGATGGGCATTATGCAAGAACAGATTATGCAGGTACATAATATTTTCTTCTACAAAATGTGAGCTCTTCTATTAAAAGAGAGTCCTGGGAAATGGTTGTTTACCACTTACTCCAAAGTGAAACTTGCAAGACTTCTAACATGTGCTAGTCTTCTCTTGCCTAGTTCAAGCTTTCATTAGGCAAGAGTAATTTTTTGTTCAAGCAAAGAAGACATACTTTTCTTTGCCAGAGTTAAAGCAATTGTCAAAAATGTCACTAAGACATAATTAGCTTGTTTTGACTGTGCAAATGGTACAAATAACAAAACATTCATCAAATTAATAGCATCAGTGGAAATCAATGCAATTTTTGGCAATATATTGTAATAAATGCAAGTGTTCTTGTTTAAATTTTCGTAAAGGTCAACAATGAAAAGTTTGCTAGTCTCTAAAAAGCTAGAAAGGACAGCTACAAACAGTAATGCAGGTTGTCTTATTTAGATGCAAAGTTAAAAATGTATATATAGTTTTTTTAATAGTAAATTTCCTTAGCTTATTTTGAAACTAAAATGTAGTTTCTCAGACATGCAAAATTATAAAGCACCTTATATAAAAATATAAATCATATTTAGCAATTATTTCACTTTGAAGAATGTCTCTAGCTAATCTAACTTTTCTAGAGTGAGAAATAATTCATGTGTATGCAATTGAAATTTTAACAGATTCTTAAATGTTATAGAAATTTGGGATAAAATATATAAATAATATTATATAGGTTGATAACGATATGTGAAGTTTTTAGGCAGAGCTTTTCATTTCGATATTAAGCAATCATAACTAGATTTATGGCAAATATTCAATCAAAAAGAGTAGTTTCTTATCTTTTAAAATATTTACTACCATCTATTCTTTCTTTCTTTCTGAAATTTTGTTTTCTTTAACAACAGGATAAATGTCTATGACACTGAAAAAAATTAGTTAATATACTTATAGACATCTGAAACCTCTTAGAATTTGGAAATAAAAGATATTTTAAACATTTCCCACATTTTATCTTAATGTTTTTCAATACGTAGATGGAATTTTTATGCGCTATAAGACAGAAATTATCATGGACAATTATACATGGAAAGACATTGGCTCTACTATTATGTAGCCATTCCTAAAGTGTCCAGGAGAGATATTTACAGATGTTCCTTGAAGAGAATAGTTCAGTGGTCTATAAGTTTGGAAGCGCTCATATAAACAAATGGATCTTCTACCCAGAACTTCTCACAGCTCTTTTGTTCATTATAAAATATTTAAGAGACATGCATCTTTTATTTATTTGTTTTACTTTTTGTTTCAAATAAAGGTAAAATACACAAATGTAGGCTCTATAGCATACTGAACCCACAAGTACTCATCATTCAAGTCCAGTAACACCAACCCATGGCTAACCCATCCCTGTCCTCACCCCTATCCTTTTCCTCTATTTTCATAATATGTGGAAGCAAATCCTGGAAATTTCATCATTTCATTCACAAATAGCATGCATCTTAAAAAAAAATCAATAATTTTTTAACAAAATTACAATACTATAATCATATCTAATAAAATTATAAATAGTTCCTTATAATACACAGCTTTTAACAAAGTTGTTTGATAACACATTTTGCAGCATGTTTTGCAGTATTAATGTTTCCAAGAATGTACATTGTGATATGCTGATCCACAGAAATATTTTTAAAAATAATAAAAGATAATAATGAAAAATCAAAGTCGAAGGCTAATTGTATATATTTTAAATTTTAAATGAAAACAAATTTAAATTGTTTATATTTTTATAAACAATTATTATATTTTGATGGTGTTATAAGCCACTGCTACTAACTGCAATTAAAATACCTTTATTCCTACTTTGCAAACTAATTCATTTGGAAAAATCTTCAAAAATGTAGAATTTATGCATACCTTCTTTAGTGAACCATCCGTCTTTGTACGCATTGAAAAATCAAGCCTCTCCCTGAGAATTTTGTTCCTGAAACAAAGAACTCTTCAAGTTGATCTGTGTCACTATACAAATATATATGCATTTATAAAATTGTTCCCATAAATATCATGAGAGATTCTACTGGTCTCTCAAAGTCATTTATATTGCATGTTAACATTTTGCCCATTTCAAAGAGATTTGATAATTGAATTTTTATTCCAAAAAGTATTTATATATGGATTTGGTTTTAAACAGATTATCTCTAATGTTGAGTGTCACTGTTCTTAATTGGCATGTTTTTCGTATCTTATTACTTTATTGGGTATCGGAAGAAAAAAATACATTTTTAATACATGCAAATTAAAATTCTTCTGTCATTCAGTGTAGTCCAGGATCTTCTAGTTTGATGTCAGATTTATCCTGAAAACTCTTAAAGAAAAACTTTTAAGATAAAAGTAAATTTTAAAAATACATGTTTGTTGAAATCCCAGTTTAAGACAGGAACAAAGATAAAGTCAATTGAAGCTTGTAATTCCTGGTTAAACACTGATTGCATACTTTAAGATTCTCAAGACATTTATTTTAGATATATTTATCTTCATTAATGGTTTCATTGGAATACAATATACACCCTCTTTAGAAATCATTTAAGTAATAGTCATGTTCCTCAACATTTCCAGGCTTCCAATAGTATTTAGTTTCCTGAATTTGGGAACACGAACTTTGGAAAAAACTAAAAGGAACCAAATAGAGAGTCTATGTGTCATTGTCCTCTTAATTTCTATTTCACATGCTAAAATCTGTCCAAGGAGGGAAAACAGGAACTGTGTGACTCCTATCCCTCAAAGTTTGCTGTGTGCTCACAGCTCATTTAATGTCATAGCCACTTCCCGTGTTAGACACACATTCACGGACTCTCCCACCAGAGGGAAGTAAGGATCTAACACACTCTTATTTTTGCCTTATATGTCATTAATACTATAGATTAAAAACCCTTACTTATCTCTCCCAGTTTTTTGTTTGAGCCTACTTTAAGAGTCATTAATACAGGAACACATGTTTCTGATTAGAAAATGGAGATCTTCTTGAAAGAAAGCCTAACTCTTAAATAAATTAATTGTATCTCATTTTTAATATCAGTTAAAAGAGATCCCAGCAAGGATCAGCAGGAGGTGAATTACCAAAATGTGTAAAAAATGCAAACGAAGGGAGCAATGCCTTCAATAAGACTAATATGTACAGTATACTAGAGTGTGGCAGACTTGCTCAGAGACTGAATTCCATGATCCTCAAAGGCACATAAATGTAGTCGGCACCAGGAAACCAAAGAATTTGCTCAATCATCCCTGCCAGTATTACTTTCTGGTTGCATCTGATTTGGGTCTCTGTTCTACCCTCTGTCCTTTAATGAGACCCAAGGCATTACTGAGTTTTGAATAAAGGGCTTTGGATCTCTTCATTTCAAAGCCCAGTGACAGGATACCTGTCAAATGAGCTAAACAGGCCATTTAATGTTATTCTCCCTTCATCACTATAAGACTTGGGCTTAGATTTAAGTCTGTCTGTACACCCACAGAAAGATTCAGGGAACACAGATTTTACAAACCCACGAAGCTAGGGCTTTCCAGGCTTTTCATTGTTTTAAATTGCTAAAATTAAACTGTCCTTTGGGAAGTTTTTAAATAGCAAATGTTTTACACCTCTTGAAATTTGCAACATTTTCTTTCACATATATGTGTATATATGTGTGTGTGTGTATATATATACCCCTCATGTCTTCTAATGGAAAAAAAAATGAAATTCAACTATTTGTTTTTCTTTATCCAGTATTTATGTATATTTTCTGATTGTGTTTTCTGTCTAAAAGTTTGTTCATGCTTCAAAAAAAGGGCTATATTTTTTCCAGTAAAAATGTACTTAATTTTATAAGTTGTTAGATACTTTATAAAATGAAATCAGATGATATTGGTTTTAATTATCTAGAAAATAAAGTATTTTTTATTTTATGACATCCTATACCAGTTTTCAGAGTTTGCAGTGTTTTATAATTAAAATACATTTGTATTTTTCTTCCATATTGTTTAAATTGAAATTGTTTAAATAGAAATTGAAAACATGAAATCAGAATTGTTAAAGAAAATAAATATACCAACAACATAGACTATTACAGTTACTGCATTTAGCCCTAAGTTTCTTTGCAACCAACACAAAAGAAGAAATTATGGTTGAATCAATTCATTCAACAAATATTTGCAGAGTCACTGCAACATGCAAGCCCCTGTCCTGGGGTTTACAAAAGTGAACAAATCAACATAGGTATCTGCTAAATGAAACTTAGATTTTTATTGTCTGACAAAAAAGAAACAAAAAATAAGTTCAGAGATGAAAGACAAAGTTTCTCTATGTTAAATTATAAAGGAACTATTTAGCATAGATCTTTCTACAAGGCATCACCGAAAAACATAAAATGAATAAAATCTTCAACAGTGATTTTTACAAAATATGCCAAGAGGCTCTCCGTATGGCTGGGAATTTTTAAAATCAATTTTTGACAACATCCTAGAGCATAGAATTAAAATATGTATACCTCAAGGACAGTGTTTCTATGACAGACTAAAGTAATGACTTTCATTTATGGGTATTTCCAAATTGGAAAAAGTAAATAAATTACAGAGGAAATGGCTATGAGGAGGAGCATGTTTAGCTTATTTTCCTCATGTATACATAGGTTAAACAGGAACAGGAGTAAAGTTAAGATAAAGACTATGCTGGATTATAGTATGTATGTGGGGACAAGATATTTCCCCTGCTTTTAGTAGCTGTTAATGAAAAACATTAAGTCCTGGATTTCATGTCCTCAGAAGGGAGACAGGGCCTCCCTAGCTCTGAGGGTAGCTACAGGCCTGTGTCGAGTTCCTGTGTTTACTTGTTGAACATTATACTGTGGCAATTCATTATTTCTTGTAATATTTATTTTTAGGAAAATTTCCATTCCTTATCTTCAAGCAATAATTTATACATTAATCTCAGGTCTGAAATATGGAAGACAGAAATCAGAAAAAGTTAAGCGAAATTCTATCCA